TGAAAGAAAAAAAAATATATATGTCTATATATATATATATATATATATATATAATATAATACTAAACTAACTACTAAACTACTAAATACAAATGTGAAAATGACTAAATAAGGGAACTGGGCAGTATGCAGTGTTTTATGCTAGTGGTCCATTCTGAACACCTTCAGGTCACACAGGTAACGTGGGATGGCGCTTCCCTCTTGTGGTTATTTGCATGAATCACAAGCTCACCTGTATTGTGTGTGTTCCTCTGGCAGTGAGCTGTCCTCGCGGCAGGAGGCAGACCTTCCAGAGCATCCAGACAAACTCTGGAGCAGCACCTCAGACCTGCCGCCTCCCTCGTACAGCAAAGCCACGGGCCTGGACTCAGTGGGACGCACCGAGGGCAGCAGGCTGAGGATCCAAACACCTGACGATGAGACGAGCGCCGACACTCAGCTGACAGCCAGCGAGCTGCTGCAGAGCAGGTGAACACACGTCAGCTGTGTGAGAGACTTCTAGACTGTGTCTACAAAAGAGTTTTATTCTTCTTTTCAAAGGCATTATCATTCAGTAGTTTTGGATTGGATTTGATTTTTTCATGTTTTTGAAAGAAGTCTCTTCTGCTCACCAAGACTGCATTTATATGATCACAAATACAGTAAAACAGTGAAATATTATTTCAATGTAAAACAGTTGTTTTCTGTGTGAATATCTGTTAAACTGTAATGTATTTCTGTGATGCGCAGCTGTATTTTCAGCATCATTACTCCAGTCTTCAGTGTCACATGATCTTCAGAAATCATTCTAATATGCTGCTTTGCTGCTCAACAAACATTTCTGATTATTATCAATGTTGAAAACAGTTGTGCTGCACAATATTTTTGTGGAAACCGTGACGCATTTTATTTTTCTGGATTCACAGATGAATAGAAAGTTCAGAAGAACAACATTTATTTGAAATAGAAATAACATTATAAATGTTTTACTGTTACTTTTGTTCGATTTAATGTATCCTCACTGAATAAAAGTATTAAAAAAAATTAATTACTGCCCCAAACTTGTGAACAGTAGTGTATGTAAAAATACAATCATATAACATTTCATTCATGTGTTACAACACATTATGCATTAGTATGTCCATCAATGCTTAAAATTATAATAAATAAATCTTTAACAGCAACTATAATATTTTAAGGTCCAATTGGTTAAATTATTTTAAATTATGTTCTTAAAACAAGGCTATTTATGTCATGTGGATGGCATATAGTTCCCATTGTGACAACAAAATAAACGTGATAAATATTTCCAGGGCAATAACAGTGAAGATGTTCAGAAGCCTTTTGTGGCCAAGACTTAATTATGGACTTTTAAATTAAATTAATTAATTTTAAATTAAATTAAATTAAATTATAAACAAATACATAACTAAATAAATAAATAAATATAAATAAATAAAAACCTTAAGTTAGAAATATAAAAAAAAAAAACGATATTAGAAATTTTAAAAGTGTGACCAGTCTCCCTGTATGTGAAAGCACACTTCAAAAGTGCATTATAACTGATTGTGTCTGTTTTATACAGTGAGAAACAGTGCACACTGAAATCCCATCTGATGTTGTTCTCCGTCAGGATGTTCTACGACGAGGAGCTGGAGGCGTCGGAGCATTTCTACCGCTCTCAGCCGCAGTTCCTCCAGCTCTGCTACGCTCTCTACAGCATGCTGGTGGCTCACTCTGAGATGCTGTGTTATCTGGTCATCATCCTCAACCACATGATCTCCGCATCGGTGGCCACGCTGGTGCTGCCCATCCTCATCTTCCTCTGGGCCATGCTGTCGGTTCCCCGGCCCAGCAAACGCTTCTGGATGACGGCCATCGTCTACACGGAGGTATCGCCTCTCTGATAGTCCTCTCTCAGACCGCATGATAGTGAGGAAAACTAATTTACAGTGTCCTTGTGTTACTGCACTTGCTATAGTAATAACAATACATTATGCAGAATTACAAACACTACAGTAAGTGCATGTTGTTAATTAATATTACTCAGTACTTGTAACAAGGACACCTTAAAATAAAGTCTAACCAGGTTTTGGATTACAACAAGGTCGCATTAGTTAATGCATTATCTAACATTAATTAACAACGAGCAACCATTTACTAATCCTTATTTATGTCAGTTAATAAAAGCACAGCTGTTAGTGCATGTCAGCTCAGATCCATTAAATAATATTTACAAAGACAGTTTTTGATTTTAATCATGTATTAGTAAATGCTGAAATTAACAAGTTTAATAAATGCTTTAGAAGTATTTTTTTTATCGTTCATGTTAACTAATGTGAACAAGTGAAACCTTACTGTAAAGTGTTGCCAAATTCTCACATTGTGTTTTTGGAGAGGATTTTCTTTTTCATGAAAATGCTAGTTAATTTTCTCGCATTGGACTGAAACTTACTGACATTGCTCACACAGGGTTTAACAACTTCCCAAAAATAAATCATTTTTGCATTTTTTTAGGTTTTTTCCTCACCTTGTTATACACTTGTAGGGTTCTCAGTCAGAGATGAACGACCTACAGAAATAGCTTATACATTTTTCTTTATGATATATTATTACTGAATCTTGGATTCAATCTTTTTATCAGCTTGTTGTCTTTCAATTAACACGGGTTTAGTGTGTCTTTTTGGAGCTGATTGATCGTAGGCCTCATTGATCTGAGCTTAAACCTCAGTTTTTTTAGTAAATATTACAATTATCCACAAATAATGCTTTTTTCACTCAAAAACTGATGCATAAGCTCTGATCAATGAGGCCTACGAGCAATCAGCTAAACCTCAGAAACACAAAACCTGTGCTAACTGAAAGAAAGCAAGTTTATAAGTAGATTAATTCCAAGATTCTGTGATAATACAGCATAACGGGAGATTAATTTTTAAAATTGCCGGTCATTTTTGACAAGGAACACCAGATTCTTAGCACAGAACAAGGGTTTTCTTTAGAAAAGAAGTTGTTTTTTACGCCGCACGTGTGTGCAAAACACATATTGGATTCATAGCCTCCTTAATATAGTGACTTGTGAGTGTACAACAGCACAAATGAATAAGGCCAAACCTGGGACCATTGATGCCTGGCAATATTTTTCTTCCAATATATTGGATTATGTAAAAAGGAATGATTATATAATGTAACCTTTTTTCTTCTTCTTTTTCTTGCTTAGGTATGTATGTATTTATTCTTTCTTGTTTGACTGTCAAATTATTGGCAGTGTGTCTGTTATTCCTTCTTCCTTGATTGTTTGTTCCAATTATGTTATTTTTGTTTATAAAAAGAAAAGAAGTTGATTAGTGAGTACGTAGTTAATTAACACAGACCAGTTGACCACATACAAATACCCTATAGGGGTTAATCCTAATCAAATGTCACATAACCTGTAGTTAACCTGCTTTAGTGCAACATGTTGCATTTTTTTTTCTCAAAGTAATCTTTTTCTTATTTTCTGCCTGCAGGTCACCATAGTGATCAAGTACTTCTTCCAGTTCGGCTTCTTTCCGTTTAACCAGAGCATAAAGCTGGACAAATCCAAGCCCTTCCACCCTCCCAACATCATCGGTGTGGAGAAGAAAGAGGGCTACGTCCACTACGACCTGATCCAGCTCCTGGCGCTCTTCTTCCACCGCTCCATCCTGAAGGTAGAGAACCGCTCTTTCATGTGTGTCACGTGTCTGAAGTGAACAGGAATCGTGAGAGTGCTCTTCTTCCTCAGTGCTACGGTCTGTGGGATGAAGATGAGCCCAGGTCAGGAGGTCAGACCGCGATGTCTCAGCACACTGATTCAGAGAAGAGCCCCGCTGATGCCTCACCCAGAAAACCCCTCCACAGCAGCTCCGCGGTCCGCCGGCAGAGCTCCAGCGTCTCGCAGCGCTCGCACCCATCTAAAGCAGGTGCGCTTCTGCTTTATGCTCCGATGTCTGCATGCACACTTACATTTGCAAAGTTTGGTGGGCCAATAGGTCTAATTGCAGTGGTTCCTAACCAGAAACTTCCAGTTGAACCTCAACATGACTTAAAATTATTTAAAATAAGACAAAACTAGCTTTAAAATAAGCTAAAACTGCTGTAAGCTGACATATTTCTTATTTTAATTTGCTTCCCCATTTATTTTAGAAATTACTAAAATCTTAGAAAGCCATGTAAATTTTAAAAATATATATTTTTTCTATTTATGTCAAGCTCTAAATTTGTAATTTTTAATTGGTAGAAGTTGCTATTTGTCAGTTGCTAAAAAAAAAATCATAAAAAAAAAAACAATCACAAATTTGCGTGAGCAGCTGAATCTGATGTGAAATCTATGCGGAGAAATATTTCACCCTTACACGAAATGCCAGATCGCTTGGATTTCTATTGGAAACCACTGGATTTTGGCTGTGAACATTTGCTGAACAACAATAAATGTATCTTCGAGACTTTACAGGCTTTAAAAAAAAATAAAAAAAAAAACCTTTAGGGAACAATAAAAATGTCATCAAGTGTTTTTCCTTAATAAGGGGATACAAACTGTGTTTAATAATTGTGTGATTGTATATAACTGTTATAAACAGATTGTTGTACCGATGCTAGTAAAATCTATATATTGAATGTATTCAAAAAAGTTTGCTCAGACAGAAGCTACTTGGGTCTACGTTAAATTAAATGCTAGATGCAGTTTATTGTGTAACCCAAGGGGGGGGGGGGTGGGGGGAGACTTTATCCATAATACAAGATTTTAGAATAATATGAACAAGTCTGACTCTTATTTTGAAATTCTATGCTTTACTCTTGCTGGCTGCTCATTCTGAAAGACGAAGGAGATAAAATACAGAAATCTTATAATATAAACACCATGAAGTAAACACTGTCATCATTCATCAACAGTTGATCATAAGCATAAATGGAATAAATGCATTGCATTCATTGATTGAAACAGCAAGCCTGTAAAACACAAGCCCCGTGAAGCCGTGGTTTACAGCGAATTTATAACAGCTAAGGGGTGTTGTTATGCACGACTGCAATTTAATGTTGAATATTCAGCACTAACGTTTATTTCATGAAATCAGAGCCTGAAGTTACTAATCACATTTGGCTGTATTATGATTCTTGCTTTTTCTCTTAAATTTAAGAATGGTGATTAAGATGTTTGTGGCACAATTTAAGACATTTTAAATACCAGCAGGGACTTTCCACACATGTTGCTTCTTAAATAGGTTTCACAGTTTGCGCACATCTATTTTTGGTCTCAAAAGCAGCGTTGATGCCTGATCTCGGCTCTGGATGTGTCTCCGCAGGCAGCAGCGGCACGAGGACGAGCTCACTGAGCGCTCAACAGAAGAGCCGCAAGCAGCTCATTATAGAGAAGCTCAGAGAACAGCTGATCAAAGCAAAGCGATTCACTGTCAGAACGTGAGGCTCCCGCTCACCTCACTCATTTATTTGAAAAGGAAGTTACATCATCATATTATTTTTGTATATTGTTCGATCTGCTGGGTTTGTGTTGTTTCAGGATTCTGGATACCTACATTCCCATTCGGCAGTTCTTCTATAACCTGATCCACCCGGAGTACAGCGCCGTGACCGACGTCTACGTGCTCATGTTTCTGGCCGACACGGTCGACTTCATCATCATCGTTTTCGGATTTTGGGCTTTCGGGGTTTGTAGAGCTTCACCTGCTCAAATACTTGACAGCTTAAAGGAATAGTTCACCCAAAAATGAAAGTTTGCTGATAATCTACTCACCCTCAGGCCATCCGAGATTAGGATGAGTTTGTTTCTTCATCAGGTTTGGAGAAATGTAGCATTGCATCACTTGCTCACCATTGGAGTGAATGGGTGCCGTCAGAATGAGAGTCTGATAAAAACATCACAATAATCCACAAGTAATCCACAGCACTCCAGTCCATCAGTTAACATCTGGAGAAGACAAAAGCTGAAACACATCCAGCAAGAAATCTGAGTTCATAATCCATAATAAGGCTTCCTCCAGTGAAAAAGTGCATCTGCTGTTGTCTCTCGCATCAAAATCCAGCCACGTATTTGTTTAGAGCTGTTTAAACGCTGCTTGATCTGTGCAGATTTCTCTCCTGATTCACACCAGAACACTTTTTCACTGGAGGAAGCGTGTTTCAGCTTTTGTCTTCTCCAGATGTTAACTGATGGACTGGAGTGCTGTGGATTACTTGTGGATTATTGTGATGTTTTTATCAGCTGTTTGGACTCTCATTCTGACGGCACCCATTCACTGCAGAGCATCCATTGCTGAGACACTGATGCAATGCTGCATTTCTCCAAATCTGATGAAGAAACAAACTCATCTACATCTGGGATGGCCTGAGAGTGAGCACATTTTCAGCTAATTATCATTTTTGGGTGAAATATTCCTTTCATATAAGATATCCAGTTTGAAAAAGCAGTTGCATTTGTCATGAAACAGAAGTAGCAACAGATTTTTTAATTCCATGTTGTGACATCAAAGTGTAAACAAAGGAACTTTGTTCTGTCCATCAGACTAAATGATTGGACAAGTGATCACGAGCTGAGCCCAAAATATTAAAAACATGAAACCTATGCATGGATGAATCATTCACGATAAGATCCGTTACATGCCAACTGTAAGAACAATGCGATTATTAAACCATGTAAGTGCAGTAAAACTGAAGTGAAACTGGTTTCTCCACAGAAACACTCTGCTGCGGCTGACATCACTTGCTCTCTGTCAGAGGATCAGGTTCCCGAGGCCTTCCTGGTGATGGTGCTCATCCAGTTTGGGACGATGGTGGTGGACCGTGCGCTGTACCTGAGGAAGACCGTGATGGGGAAGGTCATCTTCCAGGTCATCCTGGTCTTCGGCATTCACTTCTGGATGTTCTTCATTCTCCCAGGAGTCACCGAGAGGTAAATGATGAATGATATCATTATTGAACCCGTTTAAGAAGCTCGAGGTCATCTAACGTGAGACTGGATTTGATTTCTAGGCGTTTCAGTCAGAACACAGTTGCCCAGCTCTGGTACTTTGTGAAGTGCATCTACTTCGGTCTGTCAGCCTATCAGATCCGCTGCGGTTACCCCACTCGCGTGCTGGGAAACTTCCTGACCAAGAGCTATAATTACCTCAATCTCTTCCTCTTCCAAGGGTAAGAAATACAGCTGGACTCATTACACAGCCACATTACAGTGTGTTCATCCTCGGAGACTCTGATCCTGAGATTTACAACATATTAAAGTCATTCTTCATGTGCATGACCACAAATGTATTAATGCTACATATACAATATTTGGAGTGAGTATTATAGTGCTTTTATTAATCAAGGACACATTAAATTGATAAAAAGTGACAGTACAGACATTTATAATGTTACAAAAGGTTTCTATTTTTAAAAAAATGCTGTTCTTTTGAACTTTCTATTATATTATCTGTGAATCCTGACAAAAATATTGTGCAGCACAACTGTTTTCAACATTGATAATAATCAGAAATGTTTCTTGAGCAGCAAATCAGCATATTATACTGATTTCTGAAGATCATGTGACCCTGAAGACTGGAGTAATGATGCTGAAAATACAGCTGCGCATCACAGAAATACATTACAGCTTAACACATATTCACATAGAAAACAGCTGTTTTAAATTGTAATAATATTTCACATTTTTACTGTTTTTACTGCATTTCTGATCAAATAAATGCAGCCTTGATGAGCAGAAGGGACTTCCTTTCAAAAACGTGTATATATGAAATGCTAAAAATTCTTTAGTTAGACTAATTTGTTTTATGAAATTCATTGTACATGATGATGGTTAAACAGTTATTGATGATTATTTGTCATGTCATGACAATATTTGTCATAAAATCATGTTTGGTAATCAAGATCATTGTCATTTTATTTATTTGTTTATTTATCTATATTATTTATTATGTTTTTAGATTATGATTTTAGATTTTTTTTGCACCCTCAGATTCCAGATTTTCAAATAGTTGTATCTCAGCCAAATATTGTCCTCTCCTAACAAACCATACATCAATGGAAGCTTATTTATTCAACTTTCAGATGATGCATAAATCTCAATTTCGAAAAATTGACCCTTATGACTGGTTTTGTGCTCCATAATGTGTATAATACATTTAGTGCATACCATACTTTGTTTCTGGTGCGTCAGAAGCGCTCGAGTCGTGACCGAGTCTCATCTTTCTGAATGGTGCTCAGGTTCCGGTTGGTGCCGTTCCTGACGGAGCTGCGGGCGGTGATGGACTGGGTTTGGACCGACACCACGCTCAGTCTGTCCAGCTGGATCTGTGTGGAGGACATCTACGCTCACATCTTTGTGCTCAAGTGCTGGAGGGAGTCGGAGAAAGTGAGATGACGTCCAGCCAGTGTTTGTCAAAGCAGCATTCAGAAGCAGGATTCACGGTGGTGTGTTTGTGTGTTCTCAGAGGTATCCTCAGCCTCGAGGACAGAAGAAGAAGAAGGTGGTGAAGTACGGGATGGGGGGGATGATCGTGATGCTGCTCATCTGTATCGTCTGGTTTCCTCTGCTCTTCATGTCTCTGGTCAAATCTGTGGCTGGAGTGGTCAACAAACCGCTGGACGTGTCTGTCACCATCACACTGGGCGGCTTTCAGGTATGTGGATGTTTATGGGTGGAGATGGGTGGGTTTAGGGGTGGAGATGAGTGGGTTTAGGGGTGGAGATG